ATAAAATCTGGTCAGCGGTGGTCCTGCCTTGGTCCCTTTCTATTGATGGACAAAGTAAAAGGTGACTGATAAACTTTGTAGCAAAAGACAGGCTACAGTCAGTAACTGTAAAACTATAAAGTGCAGTGTTTCTGATAATGGTCTCTCTGATAAAATGGCCAATGAGGGAGTTACAAGGCATTAGTACCTAAGAAACTGGAAACTGAGTTTAGTGTCAGTCAGTAACTTCTTCTACACCTACCACTTCTTTAAGAAAAGAATGTGCCATAAGAGGACTTATTATTTTTCTCGTGTGGGTGGACACAGCTGTCTGCGTCCACAAGCTCTCTCGAAAGGGGAAAATGATTTGAATAATTATACAGCACTAGTATATCTCAGCTGATAATATATGAGCAAATAAAACACCACCATTGCCACCGCATCCTAGATGAGTGATGATGACGACGTTCTTTTTTTTTCCATTACAGTGTTAGGGGTAGAATCGAACCCACATCTATGGATGATTTAAACCGTAACACATGCAAAGCCCTGCGCCAGGCCGGCACAGACAAAGCTATGTAATGGTGCTGCAGTTGGATTTATGCGCACACATCTATCATGACTCGGTTAAGAAAGGAGAACATTCAGCCTGGCTTTTAGTTAAGGGGCTTCGGCTATACACCCACGGATGGGATAATTATTTCACGTAATTTCCTTCAAGAGCTAACACGAACCACACACCCTCCTGAACATACGTTAAAGAAATGCTGAGTGCATGTGGAAAGTCAAATTTAAATCATTACAGAGAACAAAGAAATCCGGTTTATAGAAATAATGAGAGAGAAAGAATGGACTGGAGGCAAAGGCAATCTCACGCACATCCCACTGTGGAAAAGATTAAAAGGAAATCTATCTTGGAAATCACTCAGTCATACAAGGCCATCAATCTATAGCTCTGGTGTGCAGAAAAAAAAACTGTTACATAAACTTGCAAGTACTTTTCTTGCAAGGTAACTGCAAAACAAAGCTAGACTGATTTGTTTTCCAACTGAGCTGCCAGACTTATTGTTTAGGTCATGGGTGTAAAATTCAATTGGGATAATTTAGGAAATGCGTTCTAATTCTAAGTTTGTTTACCTCCTGACTTGTGGAGCCAGAATAAGCTACAACAAGCCTACTGTGCTCAGGAAAACCCCCACCATTCAGTGCCATACAATTACAAGATTATGGAGTTTAGGCAAGTACCAGCCTCAGCATTGTGCTAATTAATTAGCTTGGTCACAGGCTAAACATTAAACGAATGTTGGCAAAACAGGAGTTGGAGCTGGCCTAAGAGATGGAGTGCGACATCTGTAGATACTAAACAAGTGTTAATGCACTCTTAAAACTCTTCTTTGATGAGGGCACTGTGATTCAGACATAACGAGGCCATGTGTGTGGCTATGGTTTGCTTTGAGGTTAGTGGCACAATGAGTCCATTATTGTTGATCTGAGACCAGTTAGGATGTTTCTTTTACAATGAAAGTTTTATGTGGATTTAGGTGAGGAAGCTGCTTCGAGATCAGGTCAACTTCTGACCAGACCATGACAGAAGCAATACAGCCAGTTGACAGGGCAACCTAAACCTTTGGCTAGCCAGGCAGATCTCCATTGGCTGCGCTTTACTGCTCTGCCCATCTGTTGGTAGATTTCATAACTTTGTTGCACCGGTGCAAGATATATGGACTGTACAATTCCTACAGGAATCTGCACTAAGTTGCCAGGTAGGTACACCTTCATTGTCTCTTAGAAACACCTAAGGGACACATTTATACCAGTACACACACTAACATACTATGCTGGTATCGGTGCTGTGCTGAGAAAGTTCCACTCTGGTCAACAGAACCTCTGGTGGCCCCTTTCCACAAATGGATGGGCTGATAAACTGTGCGACAAATGATGGGCTATATACCTGGAATGTGTGCCTATATGTTAAGTGCACTTGATAAAATGGCCATTGAGTGTAGGTACAAAGCTGTACCTTAGAACTTTCATATACTTTTAGTGAAATGAAGCTTGTGAGTGTTGCGCAAAGGCAAAATCACGTTTGCATGCTTCCTAGCTTGCATACTTAGTGCGGTTTTGTTTTGGCTAATCAATCTTTGAATGATGGCACACGTTGTCCGCGAAGTTCACCCAGCTGCCATGTGTGCGCCACAGTGCGCCTCTGCACAACATGTGCTGTTGTATGCAATTACACCATCTTGTTTGCTGAAGCTACACGAGCATTGTCTGTGGAATAAGTATACTGAGGCCTTTAGTGACGTGACAGCATGAGCCTTTTAGAGATAGCTATAGAAAAAATAGTCGCTGGATTGAAAAAGGCACCATTACATTTTTAAAGGTTATTCAAGAGACACTTTTGCTAATCTTTTGCCAATTTGCTAATCATGGATGTGTTTTAGTTGTGGTCCTGTTTTGAACATTGCCTGCCCCAATTTGTCACACAAAAAAGCAGTCTGTGGTTGGTTAATTTGCATTTTGGTAAAATCACCATTTCTTGTCAAAATAGGTGGTTCTTGACTATGATAACCCATGAAACACACCTGACTTTCTGACCACATTTGGTTTGCAAGACTACCTAATAAACTGGCAACTCTGTTTGATAGTGGCACTCTGTCTTCCTTTCAGACTTCTTCAGGAGTCTCTTTAGACATAATTGACAGATCCAGTGAAACAGGACATTGCTTGTGCTACCGAGATTCTCTGTGATGACAAAGGCTGCATAAAAGTTACAGTAGGTTCAATTCAACTTTGTGAAGCAATGGAAAAGGGCTGCTGAATAACTGACTGAAGAGAGTGATCTCATCTCAGAACTATTTTTAAGTTCCCGTTCATAATTAGAGGTACGACTTTTAAAAGTACTCACCAAATTTGTTTCAGACAGCTACTTCTTTTCAGTTCCGAATGCATCCCTTTATGATGGATGATTCCAGTCCGTGCAGCCACACGCACACACAGAGGAGACGGGTGTTAACAAAGCATTCCTGAGAACAATACCGCTGTCCAACGGGCACTGAACTCCCTGTTCTCTGCTCCTCTCACACGCCTTGCCTCTCATGAGAGGGAAAGAGAGGCAAACCGGGTGGCATTTTGCCAGCTTACAGCAATAGTGTGTCTCGTGCCAAACACTGGAGCACAGTGGGACTCCCAATTCAACACTCAACAAATGCCTTCACCCAAGGAAGGTTCCCTTTGCGGACAGCCAGGCATTCATTAAGTGCATGTCTTTCACCAAGCCCTGACAAATGTCATGTCAGTCTTATCTAGGTGTGAAGAGACTGTCCACCTGTGTGACTGTCAATGTCTGCAGAGCTGATGTCACAAAAGAGCAAACAAGGCATTTCAACAGGTAGACAGGTGTGCCTTAAAGTTAAAAAAATGTACTATTTTGAATCTAGTGCTCATTCATTTAGTCTCAAGCTCCTAAAACTTATATGGTCTCCTAAAGTTTGAACTAGAGAAGTCCCACAGAGAGGCTGACTTTTTCAAGACAATTATTTTATTAGCTTTTTCGCTTCTTCTTTGGTGCATATTGTTCTTCTCTTGTCCATCTTGTCCATCAGCATTTTTTGAGGTTTGAACTTTATTGCAAGTGAGCTGTGTTTAAACGAGAGAAATTCCTCCAGTCAAAATACTGGAGGCAGCTCTTGATGAGCCAAGAAATAGGCAGGCCTGGAAAGGCCTCTTTTATGTCTGCAAGCTCAAGACCACCCTCTCCAATTCCAATCCCCGAGCCAAATCCAGCGAAACAAATACCAGCCCCATGCTATATGTTCACTTTAAGAGTACCTTGCCAGTCAAAGGTTTGGGGGGGGTACTTTTGGGGGGGGAAATACAAGTGAAAATGCTTTCTTTGTTGCTTTGTACTTAACATATTAAATAGAAACCTGTTTAGATGTTGTCATTTTTCTTTGCAAAAAGTACACAACTAAAGGAACAACTGAAAAATCTTTGGAATAATGCCAAACCCCACACATTTTGTGTGTTGTGATGTCAGAAGATTAGGATATAGCTGCTTCATGTAACCACACCTTTTTAGTTATTCTTATTTAACTGGAAAGCAACACTGAAAATCAAACATTAGCCTGAAAATTTCAAAAGAAGGCAAGGCGCCATCATACATTTGAAGAGAAGGTTGTTTCCAAAGCCAGGAATTGTTGGAAACTCTACAGAAAGAAAGAAATAAAGTGAAGAGAGTTCATTTAAAGGTCTCTGCAGGCTATTTAAGCTTTGCCTTCTGCTACAATTAGCAGTAAAGTTTAACAAGCAGGCGAGGGGACTGAGGTCAAGCATGGTCGCTGGTCTGAATCATCTACCTAGCTAAGAAACTAGGGTAAAAGTTCCAAACAGAGCTCACAGCAATGATAATCATTTTATGTAAGATAAGAAGCTCCTAACTGAGAAACTGAATGGCAATTTGCCAGACACCTCCCGTCTAGAGACGTTTTAAGTAAAAAACATTCATTCTCCCATCACTCCCACCTGTTACTGAAAGGAGCGACAATCCAGCAATGTGAGGGCTATGCAAACACTGAGATAAGAACTGCAATCTGAGCAAGGGAGCAAACCATGGGGTGTGGACCAGATACAAAACCAAGCAGTTATCCATTAACATAAGAAACTTAACAAAGAGTGCATTCTTGAACAAGATGACCAGTTTAAAGAAGTAAAACGTAATGGACGTAAACTGAACTTTGCAAACAATTTCAAGAACTCCTTGTAACTAACAATGGCCACAATTCAGATTCAGAAACAAGAGCTACACTGCTTGCATCTTTGTTCTCTTCGGCAAAGAACTGTTTCTGCTGGATGATACATGAGCTGCACACCTCTCTTGCTCTCGCTCACGCACACACATACACATTCGGCATACCCTGCTTTCGCCTCCCCTCCATACGCAGTCCAAACAGAGCAGTGTGAAGCTGAAGTGCTACTACTCAATCCAGCGATGACATAAACGTTTACGGGAAAAGACCTACCTCGCAGCTCCTTCGTCCACTGCCTCTTCTCCTTCCATCATTCTGCTGCTTCTCCTGCACACTTCCTGGCTGTGGCTATGTCCTACTATTGCTCACTTTCTGCCTCTCTCTTTGCCCCTTTTTCTCTCTTTTGCGTTGGCTGGGGAAAGCGCACCAGGATCCAGGGGCCAGTATGAGTGGAATTTCAACAAGAAAAAAGCAGAAACAATCGCTTCTTTTGCGGGTAATATCTTTCCTTTCTCCTGTAGCTGAACTCACGCGCACATATGGATTACATTCCCACCGGAGTGGCCAGCTGGATTTAAGCACGACGGCTCCTGCTCTCTCTTTTCCCTGCAACACACCCCCCCTCCCCATACACACTCACACACACCCTCAGCATGGCCCCAGCCTGCTCCCATTCCTCCACCCCAGCGCTCTACTCTAATCATTAACTCGTATTTGGGCGGGCGCCTGACGCTTAACTCCTTCAGTTGTCTCCTGCTATTCTTACACTAGATTACCCTGAAACAAGGCCGTTTCTACTCCCCATTGCATAGCTATCCAACTGGAAGGTACGAGTAAATAAGAAGGGGCACTGGTTCAGGGCTAATGAGCCAAGGAAGATTATACAACATTATAAAGGAAGGTTTGGGTTGTAATGCAACTTTGGGTACAAGTTCTCTAGATCTCAGCAAAGAATAACATTGATCATCTAAGCTCATACTGAAGGTGGTTCACACTCAACCTATAGATGGACAGACTGAAGAGATGAGATTATTGAGGATTGGAACAATCAGAACCAATCATGCTCATGTGATGTCCACAGCAGTTGTTATCATTCTAGGGCTGCACAGTATTGACAGGGGCTCCCAAGGTTGGCACGCAAGGTTATGATTTGGCTACTGTTACTTAATTATTAGCTTCACAAAGGTTATGTAAGATACTTGTAATAATAAAACATGTAATGTAATCTTGTAAAATATAATAAAAAATACCCTTGACACCATACAGCTGTCACTGCAACACACAGGTAACAACACAAAAAACGAATAGAGCGTAACTGGTGGTGGTACATGGACAGGGGGAGATTTAAAGACCACTGTTGTGGAAAATTTCTTTTCACTGAACCTCAAGGCTAGGCAGCATTCCTGTAAAGAAATCAAATTAAAGAGAAAAATTTAGAGGATATCTGAGAGCGCAAAGTCATGTAATTGGTGAGGAGCAGAAACATGGGTCTTGCGACGCAATATGTGATGCAAAATGTTAAAAACACCTTGATGCAGCATGCTTAAGCTACCTGTTATTCACTGACACATACAGTTTTTTTTTATTTACTAAAAGGCTCATTTGCATACTGCAGCCATTTGTGATATCAGTATTGCAAAATCCAGTATTGTGATAATGATTAACAAGTGAAATATTTTGCGGCTCTATATCATAAGTAAATTTACAAGAAGTGTGTTTGTTTGCCTGATTTAGAATTGGGCCTCTTTTGTCTAATGAGGAAGATTTTTTTCCCCCATTAATTGCTTCCATGCTTTCACTCCTCGCAATCTAAAACACACAATTTCCTTGTTCAGTCTTTGATGAAGGGTAGGAAGCTTGAGTGAAAATGACAGCTTGAAAGTGATTATGAGGTAACAGCCCCAGGGTTTATTTAGGAAATTAGACCACACATCAACAATCAACATATTGAATCAGACGTCTTAGACTTCAGAGACTAGGCTCGTTGTGCCCCTTAACTTACGTAATGGCTTAGGAGAGAGGTTAAGGCTAGTCCAAAGGCCCTGGGGTTTGTTTAACATAGGCAGCAGCAAACTATAAACACACTAATGAGTGGGATCAGTGTATGGCACCTATCCAAAAGGCTGCTCATTTCTGTAATCAATCATAAGTGTGGGGGATATGGCGAAATATAAGATCAGAGGTTTGTTAACGAGTTTGAATGGACAAAATGCACCACCAAACCAGCAGTGCTGTATTAAAAAAAAAACCATTAATATCGTGAACAGAAACTGTAATGAAACATTTTCAAAAATAAACTACTTAAACAGGAACAGCGGGGGGGGATGGTAATTATGCAATTACTATACACTGGTTGTTGATGTTTACAGGCTCTCTATAATTGCTCAAATCTTGCTTTTTATGATACATGCATTTTCTTAGTGGTCTTAGTGGATCATCTACCCCTAGGCAACTGTAATTTATTCTTTATACTACTAGGACTACTGAGGTTAAGACATTAATACAATAACTTAAAGCCAGTCATTTTTTAAAGTCATTGACACATTTTTTGAGTTTGACCCTTCAAACCCTTTGTAGTAGTCCAGGCTGAAGCCCAGCTGCTTGCGTGCTGTATGTTGCTTTGACAGAATCAGCAATTGTAGCGCTGTTATTTAAATATAGCTTTTTAAATGGCTTTTCCTTCAGCACCTTCGGCACAATAACCTGGAGAGCGCTCACGGGAGACCCATGGATAGATCAATGAGCAGAAAACTAACAAAAGCAAATGCAAAACGGAAAGCTACAGTTACCGTCGAGAACTTCCATTGTGCAAGAACACTTAAAATCAGAACAAGACAGTACAATTGCGGACGATGTAGAAACACTGACTGTATATACGATATATATGATTTACTCTATACGGTATATACACTCATTGGAACATGCAGCCACTGTTGCTTGACTAGATGTCAACTATAAAACAGGATACTATGTTCACACTTTGGAAAGCACGTGAAAATAATGAAAATAATGTTATTCAATTACTGAAAGTGAAGTTCATTTTGTCCACGCATACAACTACCACAAAATGCACTGCTTTTTTAAATGGAATTCTTTTGCATCAAATTTGAGCTTTGCAATTAATCATGGTTAACTCGACAAAATAAAGTGATTAATATATTTTAATCATTTGACAGTCTCACACTCAATGGATCTTTGCTTTACATGTAACAAACCATCACTGTCCATTCTATGCTTCTTTTTTTCCTTCTATATGCTGTATGAGTCATAAAAACATAGGGGGCCCACACACATTTAGCCTCTCAGGCTGCTTGTAGCTGCCAGTCTGGGTACACTGTTAACTAACCACAGATGCACCACCATCTTTTCTTTCCAGGGCCACTTCCATCATGCCTCGTCAACTCCCGCTGTTTCCCCCTATGCTAACCTCATCAGTCAAAAGACACAAGACCCATGTCTCTGCTCCTATTGCCAAAACAAACTCCTTATGAGGTATGTCCCCATAACTCATCCCGAAGCCTAATGGTCATCCGTCCAGCATTAGGACACAATGTAAGCCTGGTTTGTTTTTCTGAATGTTTTCTATTTGGTCAAGCACAAAGGCAAGTCTGTTTCTGCAGTGCTCGTCGCTTTCTCTTGCAAATTCCGTAATGATAAATGCTATCTCAAACTAACTCGCAATCCACTATATTACACAGACACTCTTACTGGCCTCTTCCAAATATTCCAACTTCAGGACAGGGAAGTCAAAACAGGCCAGAACCTCCCCCAAAGCCTGCGTTTCTGTAGGATGAACTTGAATGTGAAGTTCATTGTCTAATTGGACATTTCTCTTCTGCTGCATATTTTAAGGGCAAGAGAAGTTCACTCTATCTGTCTTACATCCTGACTTAACAGCACTGTTTATATACAGAGAAATCAGAAATAAACTTATGATAAAGCTTGTGGCAAGACAGTGGAAATAGGATCTCACGTCAGGGTCAGCAAAATCTTTTTCCAGAGCAAATGTTTGTGTCAGATAATCTGCGCACATGTCTGAATATATCCTGAGGAGGTGATTAGTATACAATTCTTTTAATGACCATGTACATACATGTGACTAATTATATAAACACTGCTTTGATTTCGCTATACATTGCAGCACTTAAAAGAGCCCTCAGGGTGCACAATGCACTACCATGCAAACATAGCAAATTGGCTTGTGTAACATTTCAGTAGTGTTATTACTCATATAGCTCAACTGTGAGATACTAGGGGTGAGAGGTACACTATATGGCCAGAAGTATGTGGACACCTGACCATCTTGTCTATATGGGCTTGCTGAACAAGGCCCATGGGCATAAATGTGGAGTTGGCCCTCTCCTTGCAGCTATAACAGTCTCTACTATTCTGTGAAGGCTTTCCACAATATTTTGGACTGTGTCTGTGGGAATCAGTGCCATTCCAGTCAAGCATTTGCAAGGTTGGGTACTGATGCTGAGCAAGAAGGCCTGGCTCACAAACGATGTTCAAATTTATCCCAAAGGTGTTTAGTGGGGTTGAGGTCAGGGCTTTGTGCATCAAACTCATGAAACTGTCTTTATAGACCTCACTTTGCGCACAGGGCCACAGTCATGCTAGAACAGGATAGGGCCTTCCTCAAAATGTTGCCACAATGGTGGAAGCACATAATTCTCAAGTGCCTTTGTATCCTTAACATAAAGGTATTAACATTATCCTTCACCAAAACTAAGAGCCCCAAGCCTGAAAATCAGCCCCAGACCTTTATACCTCCTCCACCAAACTTTACTATTGGCACCATGCATTTCATTAGGGAGCGCTCTCCCAGCCAAACTCTGATTGGTTTATTAGCGTGATAAATCAACATGATTCATGACTCCAGAGAACCTGTTTCCACTGCCGGTCCGGTAGTGGAGTGCTTTACACCACCCTAGTCAACGCTTGGCATCGCACATAGTGATCTTAGGCTTGTATGCAGCCACTCGGCCAGGGAAACCCATTTCATGAAGCTCCCGATGCACAGTTCTTGTGTTGATGTTGCTTCCAGAGGCAGTTTGTCAGTGTTTGTGTGTGGCGACTTCATGGCTATGTGCTTGATTTTATACACCTATTACTAGTGGGTTTGGCTGAAATACCTGAACTCAATAATTAGGAGGTGTCTATGCACTTTTGTCCATGTAGTGTATATGGGTATGAAAGTGAAAAAGTGAATAACAGTGTTAAGTTGTCCCATGATATGGATTTTGCCATATTTTCTATACCTATATTGTTTGTTGTGACAAAGGCCAAAAACATAAAATCACATACAGCTACATTCAGGGTCGCTTAAATAATTTTTATGACTTCAGAGACTTTTTTTGGACAGAAACAATAATAATGTAGTAATTTAAATAGTTATATTATCTATTGCACAAAAAAGGATGAGCTGCAGGATAGATCACCTTAAGAAGGGCAACTTTCCCATCTTCTTTCAATTGCTATGCCCATGGTTAGATAAAGCCATCAGCATTGAGAATTTAGAGGTAGATGGCATGCAGTCATGGGACATTACTGGTTGAGGTCAGATCCATTTCCTGTCCACTTACCTCCTCATTCACACATCATTGATTAACAGATTGTCTGGAATTAAC